GCGTCCACGTGGCTGGCAGGCGGCCACCCGGAGCCAGCGGCAGCGGAGGGACAGGTAGGTAGGTGGCCTCCATAGCCCGCCGCCCGTGCGGAGCCAGCCGGCTCGGCGGCCCGGGGCTCGGCCAGCTCGGGGATTGGGCTCGGCCTTGAGGGGGTCGGGCCCTGCCTCTGTGTTGCATCTCGGGCGCCGGCCCGACTGGTCCTTCGTGCCCAGCGCCGGCAAGGACCGCCGGTCTGAGCCCAGCTCCCCTGCCCTATGGGGACCCTTTGTGGCTGAGGAGCGGCCCCTCCAAGGACTGCCGCGGCGTCTCCATCCACTAGGTACTCGTGGGTCGGCCGAGGGGTGCCCCTGGTGGGAGCAGGGCGAGCCAGGCCATCAGCACGGTGGGGGGCATTGGGGAGTGGGGCGCTGGAGGCGCATCTCTGTGAGGGACTGTCCCTTTCCTCGGGCTCTCTGCTGGCAGCGGCGTAGCAGAGCAGCTGGGTGTGCCTGTGATGCTTGAGGCTCCCACTTACAGGTGGAGGTTGGGATGGGGGCTTGGGTTGCACATCCTGCCTTTCCAGGTCTCTCTCCCAACCTATCTCCGTCTCCATTCCTAGGCTTGTATTCCTGCGGGGTGTGGAGGAGGTTAGGGTGGGATGTGCCCCCCCGCCCTTCTCTTCTGCCTCCCTTTCTTCTCTGGCTGTTGCATTAGGGGTCCAGGATGCAGACCTGACAAAAGAGCCCCAGAGCGATGATCAGTCTGAGCTGAAACTCTGCTATTTCAAGCAGGGCCTGTTCCTTGTTCTAGCAAATGCATTTTTTCCTTTCTATCTTATATGCCTTCTTACTTTGGTTCCCTGCTCTCCCCAAGCTGGGTACCTTGTGTCCCCCTTGGGGCTGGGGTACAGAGACACTGCTTTGCGGCCTGGAGCTGGCCGGGAACCTGGGTGTGGCCTGGGGGCGAAGACCTGGCCAAGCTGGGCACTGTCCCTACGGCCCCCGCCCCATCTCCCCAAGGCCTTGCTGTATTTGGGGACATTGCTTCCTTTCCATTGGGCTCCTTGTGCCCCCCACACACCTCCCCTTCCCCAGCGAACCTCTGGATTTGGAGGGAGAGCTGCACAGGGCTACCTGGACCATCTGTCTGGCTGTGCCCGAGCAGAGCCTGACTTATGTCTGTCTTGGCGCGTGGCTGTGGGGGCAGGCACAACTCGGCTTTGTGTTGCAGTGGGTAGGCTAGACAGCAGGCTCCTGGACAGCTAGCTGAGGGAGGCCCTCGGGGCGAGGAGGCAGCTGGGGCCAGGACTGGGGATGTGATGGCGCCGGGTCCATTCTCAGACCTTAATGCCTCCGACGTCTGACCTGGGTCTCCTGGTGGCAGTGCCACTCTGGAGTGGTGTCCTCCCCCCTCCCCAACACACACACTTGTGATTGTTCACTCTCTGCCTTTCCCCATCCCCCGACTTGGGCGTGGGGTGTCTGTGTGGCCTGGGGCTTGCCTACAGTACCTCTTGTATGTGGCTGGCCACCCTCAGCTCCGGGATCCGGTGTTTGGGATCTCATTCTGGGAGGGCCTCCCGCCTTGCCTTTCCCAGCATCTGGCTCTGCTGCCCCCTCTTGGGTGTGGCCCAGTTGAGGGGAGGCCTCCTGGCTCCTTTCCAGCAGGGGTTGGGGGATGATTGATGGCCCTCCAGCCTGCCTGTGCCGGCTGCTCGCTCATGCGCCCTGGTGGAGGCCACAGTCACCATCTGGGACTCTGGTCTGGGGGTGGATGAGTGGCCTCCACCGTCTGTGGCACGGTGCTCAGCCCGCTGGGGGCCCTAGGCCAGGTGGGGCAGGAGGAAGGCCGGCAGCCTGGGCCAGGGCCTCTGATTCGCACTTGCTTTCTCCCCTCAGGCCTGTCCCCGGGCACAGCTGCTGGCCATGCCTGCTGTCTGCTTCCTCCTGCTGGTCCTCCCTGCCCTGGCGGGGGCCGTGGACAACAGCAGGCCCTTCCCGGCCTTCTTGGTGACAGACACTACGCTCACGCACCTGGCCGTGCACCGGGTGACTGGGGAGGTGTTTGTGGGTGCAGTGAACCGCATCTTCAAGCTGGCCCCCAACCTGACCGAGCTGCGGGCCCACGTCACGGGGCCTGTCGAGGACAATGCTCGCTGCTACCCACCCCCCAGCATGCGAGTGTGTGCCCACCGCCTGGCACCTGTAGACAACGTGAACAAGCTGCTGCTCATAGACTACGCGGCCCGCCGCCTGGTGGCCTGTGGCAGCATCTGGCAGGGCATCTGCCAGTTCCTGCGCCTGGACGACCTCTTCAAGCTGGGTGAGCCCCACCACCGCAAGGAGCACTACCTGTCAGGGGCTCAGGAGCCTGACTCCATGGCCGGCGTCATTGTGGAGCAGGGGCAGGGGCCCAGCAAGCTGTTCGTGGGCACCGCTGTGGACGGCAAGTCCGAGTACTTCCCCACCCTCAGCTCCCGCAAGCTCATCAGCGACGAGGACAGTGCCGACATGTTCAGTCTGGTGGGTGAGCCCACTCGCCGGTTCACCTTCTCGGGCCGGCGGCCAGGCCCTCTTCCCCTGGTGTGTCCTCTCAGCCCTCTCGAGAGCCGGCTCCCGTTGCCCTCCTTGCCTTCACCCTGTCCTGATCCGAGAGGAGATGAGTGGCTGAGGCCGGGAGGCCGGGCTAGGGCACAGGATGGGGCTGCTCACCCTGCCCTCTGTGGCCTTTCTGGCCTGGGCTCCTAGGAGCATATGGGCAGGGTGGGGGCATGACGGAAGCCCGGGGCGGCGGGGGGGCCTGAAGTGGGCTTGTGGGAGCCTCGTCCCACGCTCCCCTCAACCTGCTCCCCAGGTGTACCAGGACGAGTTTGTCTCCTCGCAAATCAAGATCCCCTCAGACACGCTGTCCTTGTACCCCGCCTTTGACATCTACTACATCTACGGCTTTGTGAGCGCCTCCTTCGTGTACTTCCTGACGCTGCAGCTGGACACCCAGCAGACGCTGCTGGACACGGCGGGCGAGAAATTCTTCACGTCCAAGATCGTGCGCATGTGCGCCGGGGACTCGGAGTTCTACTCGTATGTGGAGTTCCCCATCGGCTGCTCCTGGCGAGGCGTGGAGTACCGCCTGGTGCAGAGTGCCCACCTGGCCAAGCCCGGCCTGCTGCTGGCCCAGGCCCTGGGCGTGCCGCCTGACGAGGACATCCTCTTCACCGTGTTCTCTCAGGGCCAGAAGAACCGCGCCAGCCCGCCACGGCAGACCATCCTCTGCCTCTTTACCCTCAGCAACATCAATGCCCATATCCGGCGCCGCATCCAGTCCTGCTACCGCGGGGAGGGCACGCTGGCCCTGCCCTGGCTGCTCAACAAGGAGCTGCCCTGCATCAACACCGTGAGCTCTCACCCCCACCCCCGGCCGGGCCCCCGCGCGCTGCCGTGCCGTCCATCCCAGGCTGGCCTGGGCACTCCCAACCTCTGCTCGCCCTCTTTCTCCCCGGGCCTGCCTTCTTGCTGTTGACGGGTGCTCTCTGTTTGTGGGATATCCTTTCTCCCCCTGTGCCGGCCCAAGCCGGCTGCTCCGTGCTCCATCTCCTGGGCAGCCCCATCGTGCAGGCCTTGGAGGTGTGCCTGGGGCCACCTGCTGCCTCATCCTCCTCTCCCTGCTCATGCCTCCTCGTCCTCCTCAGCCCCTGACTTCCTGGTGGGGGTGGGGGTGGTCCCAAGGCCAGCAGTTGGGCTTGGCTGGTGGGGAGCCAGTTCCAGATCCTGCTTCCTTCCAGAATATGGGGTCTTGTGCCCTCAAGCTCTGACTCTCACTGCCTCCCTCCTGTTTCACCAGCCCATGCAGATAAATGGGAACTTCTGCGGGCTGGTGTTGAACCAGCCCCTGGGGGGCCTGCATGTGATCGAGGGGCTGCCCCTGCTGGCTGACAGCAGCGACGGCATGGCCAGTGTGGCCGCCTACACCTACCGCCAGCACTCTGTGGTCTTCGTCGGCACTCGGACTGGCACTCTGAAGAAGGTAGGATGAGGGGCTATGAGGCCTCGGCCAGGGCACGGCCCCTGGGGGAAGGCGGGCTTCCCAGGCTGGGCCCTAGGAACCTGGTCGCGCTCCACCCTCACCAACAGTAGTGCCCGCTGTGGCCCGAACGGCTGGCTCGTGTGACGGAGCCCAGGCCCGTCTCAGGGCCTCCCTGCTAGGAGAGCAGGGCCCCGGCTGGGCCATCACTGCCAAGTCCTCTGCTGAATGAACGAGGAAGAAATGTGGGTGTAACGCCCCCCTCCCTCGTGCCCTCTTGTCCCCTCGTGGGCACTGGGGCTGCTTCCATTCCGGGACGGGGGTAGTGGGACAGGGGGAGATGGACCCTGGGAGCCGCAGTGTGCTCTGAAGGGATAGGAGTCAGGATGACCACCACGGGCTGCCCCCAGGAGGTCTGTAAAGAGAGCCTGCTGAGTTTTGGGGGGCCTGGTCTGCTCCTCTCCTGGGCCCTCATTTGCATCTGTAACCGCGTTGGGGAGGCATCATTCCCAAAACACACCGTGCCTCCCTCTAAGGTGTACTTCTCAGTAAGTTTGCAGCACTCTCTTGTGCTGGGATGGTGTCATCCCCCCAAAACGCCCTCCCCCCAGAGTTCTCC